TATATTTAACGTTATAAACGTATCCATAAAAAAATTCTATATTTCACTTCTTCTTTCACACAACTACAATAAAATAGTAGTGGATACCACAGGTGGATCTACGGGGGGAGGGGGAGGAGGACTTTCGGGCTGAAGCCCCGCCAAAATGGTAAACTATAATCATGTTTTACAGTAAAAAATATTTCAAACTATCTCTTAAAGTATTATTGTTCGTTTAATTACATTTAATAGGACTTCAAGAACCACTTAATTACCATTTCATGTAGGTAGTTAATTTTTTTTTTTTCAAATTTATTTTCGTCATATGTATATGAAAAATATATCTTTCGGGCTGAAGCCCTCCCCTCAAAAAAAATTAAATCCTGGATCCGCTAGTGGTGGATACTGTTGGGAAAATTTAATATCACAAAGGGAAAATTTATCAAATTATTCACTAATTTAATTTTCTAAAAAGTTACAAGACAGTTTTTCGGAATAAACATTGATACCTAATTATTTAAATATAATATCAGATCTATAATCACTAAACTACAGTAAATGTATTTAAGGTTATGAACGTATGCTTTGTACATTCATGAAATGATTTTATATTTTACTTCTTCTTTCACACAAGGACAATGAAACAGTTATTTTTAACAATGCCATTGCCTTGATTAAGTGGATTTCAAATACATTCTACAAACGTAAACATATTTTTTAAAGTTTAAATTTAGTTAGTAAATTTCATTTAATTTTCTTGAAAACATGTGATTTACGTTAAATATTATCAGTTTTCAAAAATTATTATTATTTATAATTTTTTCGCCACTCTCCGTTACCTTCTACAACTTTTTATATTAGATATTGTTTTATTCTAAAATTCTCTCCTTTCCAACGATATATTATAAGTATACCATCTCCTTCTGACTTGTATTTCCGGAGATTCATTTTCGACCTGTATAAGCATTTTTATTTTTTTCTCCTTCATTCAAGTATAAAATTCTTTCAAAAGTTATATTTAGCATTATTTTGTATGTTATTATTAGCATTCAATAGTTGATTATTTAAAATAAACCATATTAAAGGTATTTTAGAGGAAGACGCATATACACATTGGACATTTAAGTCCTGTAAAGTGACATCAACGGGGATAAGACCAAAATGATATTAAAGACCACTTAATTATACAATGATACACCGAGTTTAATCAAAATCGTTAGAGCCGTTTTTGAGAAAATTGTAAAAATGTGTTTCAGCGTTGATATAAAGTAACACTTCCGGTTAGCCGATTTTAAGTAAAAAGTTCTTCGGACATCTAAGGCATATATCTATCTTAAATATATAATATCAGTTTCGTACGACTTTTCGGTTTCGAGCTAGAGTGTTCACATACGCACAGACACACAGACCTTTTTTTGGGACTTAGTTATTTGGACTCAGGGGACCTCAAAACGTGTACGTCCATTGAAAACTCAGATTCAAAAATTTTGACGATCGCAATACTTACCACTTACTATATATTACATATATAGGTAAGTGAAAGTAACAAAACATATGTATGTGTTCTTTGACATGTAACTTCGAAACAGATAAATGGAATTAAATACTACCATTTTGTATTAAAAAAAAATAAGGGGGTTCTTCCTTTTCTTCCTCCAAAAAGTACCCCCCCCCCACCTACCCATACATATTGTCATTATATCTTTAAAAAAAAAAAGTAAAAAGTATCACCCACCTACCTAAACATATTGCCATTTTATCTTTTTAAAAAAATTCGGAGGGGTTTTAACCGCTACCCAAAAAATAAAATTAAAACAAAGTATCTCCCACCTACCTAAACATTGTCATTTTATTTCTAAAAAAAAAATCGGAAGGGAGAGGCTAAACCCCCATTCCAAAAAAATAAATAAATAAAAGTAAAACAAAGCATCACCCACCTACCCAAACATATTACCATTTTATCTTTTAAAAAAATCGGATACGAGATTAACCTCCTTAATTTTTTAAGCCCCTTAATGATTTTTTTCATATTATCATTTATAGAACTTTTTTTTTGTTTTGTTATTCATCACAAGCCATGGCCCGTAGGGCTTGGATGGAGGTCTCAATCCGGCCCGCGGTACAAAAAGTCTGGAGACCTCTTAGATAATTGTGTTTCCTATAGCTAGTAAAGTGTATAAAAGTACCTTCACTTTAGACCCTTATTAATGTTACTTTATGGAGTCGATAAAATATAGAATACGCTAAGTAAATATTTCATTTCAATACATAAGAATGTAATCTGGTAATAAAAAATTGATAAATAATTAATTAGTGGATTTATGGAAAATATTATTAATATATTGACTTACAAGCGAATATAGTTACAATGGTAACAATAAAACAGGAAGATATCGTCAGTTCATTACAGAAAGTTATTAAGCGATTTTTCATAACCTTAAGTCACCAAGAACATATTATTGGTGAGAAGCAATTTAAAAGTTAATCTTCATCAAAAATGTAATTGCTGATTTTTTTTCAATAAACTGATGATATTGCTGTAATATAATAATAATAATATAATTTTATGGCCAAGGAAATTGGAATAATATGAAATTCACTATTATTCATGTTCAGGAAATTGGAAGAAAGTAACTTCTTCTTTGTAGAAAGCAAGATCGCAACTGCCGTAATTTTGACTCAATAGATGTGTGAGCGGGGCCTTCAATTATATTTACTATGTAAGAGACCTTTTACAGAGGTGAGGGATTCCTCCGCTACAACTCTAACGATCTCAAATTAAATAGCCGATACAACTTCTACGAATTAACGAACTCATTCAACAGTAAAGATTTCGTACAACAGTAAAGAAGACGTGAATTAGTGAAAGGGATAGTAAAAGAGAAAGGAATGTTATATCTCATTTGTCCAAGCGGCTGTGCCTAAATTGACAAAAATAAACAGCAATGTTATAAGAATATTATAAACATTATCTTTATAAAAACAATGTCCTTTAATTTACATTATCTTGCCAATTTCTCTAAAACGCGTGTAAGGCCAGCATCACACCCATGGGAAGAGGTAGAGGACTAGTGTCACTATAGTCTGTGGGCCAGACACCCTTACCGTGCACCTCCCCCACCCCCCACATCCCTATAAATTGCATATCGTTGTGTTCCTTGTAACTATTTATTAAAAAAAAAAGCCAATGTTTCCACAAAAAAAGTGAACGCTCTGCCCCAAAATGGCGTCCAAAGATGGCGGATTGACGACTTTGACTTTAGTTAGTTTTTTGGTCATTGAGAATCAGCATTTGGCTTAATTTCCTCATAGTTGGTCTTTTATTAAAGCTGAATAGTCATAGAATAAGAAATTATGAAGAAATATTAAAAAATAATTGGCTTAGACTATGAAAAACACCAGTAAAGTCAATTTTTTAAAAAAAAGATTTTCAAGTTACAAATCAAGCGTCGATTGTAATTAAACGACCCACAATAACGCAAAACGTGCTGAAATAAAACATCTGGAGAATATATTTCTCTTTCTATAATGCTGATTATATTTTAAAAAAATGTAAGCAGTGCCATAGAAAATGCACTTATGCGGCAGAAAAGCGGTACTGGCGTGGGTGCCTACACTCCTCCACCACACCATTCAGTACACATAAATGGCTTAGTTATAGTGATATAATAACATTTTTGGTACATTATATTGGTTTTATTAACGAACAAATATTAATGAAATAATTTAATTGTACTAATTGTACTATAACTAAGCCATTTATGTGTACTGAATGGTGTGGTGGAGGCGTGTAGGCACCCACGCCAGTACCGCTTTTCTGGCCCATAAGTGCATTTTCTATGGCACTGCTTACAATTTTTTTAAAAATAATCAGCATTATAGAAAGAGAAATATATTCTCCAGATGTTTTATTTCAGCACGTTTTGCATTACTGTGGGTCGTTTAATTACAAACGACGCTTGATTTGTAACTTGAAAATCTTTTTGTTTAAAAAAATTGACTTTACTGATGTTTTTCATAGTCTAAGCCAATTATTTTTTAACATTTCTTCATATTTTCTTATTCTATGACTATTCAGCTTTAATAAAAGACAAACTATGAGGAAATTAAGCCAAATGCTGATTTTCAATGACCAAAAAACTAACTAAAGTCAAAGTCGTCAATCCGCCATATTTGGACGCCATTTTGGGGCAGTGCGTTCACTTTTTTTGTGGGAACATTGGCTTTTTTAAAATAAATAGTTACAAGGAACACAACGATATGCAATTTATAGGGATGTGGGGGGGTGGGAGGAGGAGGGTGCACAGTAAGGGGGTCTGGCCCATTGTGTTCTAAGTGAGTCACGCTGTTAGTCATTTACAAAATGAATCCAAGAGAACAAAGAGAGGGGCCACACCGTCACCTGATCATGTTTCAGAAAGTAAAAACAAAAAAAAACTTTTGATGCCATCGAGTAAGGATATGTTCCCTCCCAATTGAATGGAAATCGTGGTGAAAGTACTTGAACAAGTCCATCTAAAGGGAATTCTTTAGATAACAATATCCAACTTCAGGTTTGTAAGAAATAGGAAATTGTTCAATTGTGGTGGGAAATTATTGCAGGGCTCGATTCAGTTCATCAAAGATAAATTACAAATGTGAAAATAACTTGTTTAATTGCGTGGATATTTGTCCTTCTAAAAATAAGCTCTTTCTAAAGATTCGATATTACTGGTCGTTCAAGAACAAATAACTTTTGGTTTTAATCAAATTAGCAAGAAAATAAAGTGCTCCAATGTACGGAATTTGTGTTCTAAGTACATTGGCTTAAAAGAAAAGATATATTTTACTAATTTGCTGTTTTTGTAATATACTTTTTATTATCCTAATACGTTCTTTAGACCATAATTCACTCTATTGCCCTTGATTGTTAGTTTTATCTTTATTTCAATTTACTTTTTTTTTCTTTTTATTTGATTTAGATGGGATAGGAAATAAATCTTCAACACACGATCAATCTTCAGATAAACACTACGATTAATATGGATTTCACTCAAATAATTAGCGATTCTTTTAGTCTTATTATTATTTCGATGTGTTTATTTTTAAAAATACCTCAAATTCGTAGTATTATTAGTTTGAAAAATGCCAGGGGAATTAATATATACGGATTAATCATGGAACTTGGAAGGTAGACTTTAAATTTATATTTTTTTAAGCATGCCTTTATGTAGAAGAATAATTTGAAGTGCATCTTTGGGTATTCCTCTTCACAAAGTTTTTTTTTTTTTAACTTTTGTCTCAACAGTTTGTATTTAATGATATTGGCGATTTTTATAGTGTTGAAATTGGTTTTGTTTGTTTTCCTTGGCATAGAAAGTATATAAACTTCTGTGTTATTTGGATAAGACATTTATCCAAACTTGCTTACTGATGTTTACATTTCTAATTTTATGCTAATTTGTAAATGCATTGAATTATTTGTACAAATGTTAGTTGAATTCACTTGAGATATTTCATAGTATGCACAGTTAATATACATCTACAGGTGTATGCTTTGAAGGTCAGATTCATTAAGTATTCCTTAACCTAATAATTTTATTTTTCCTGGTCATTCAACTCATTATTATTCAAGTAGCATTAAAATTAACAGCAGATCTATAAATTTTGAAGTTTAAGTTATTAAAAATTTAAAATACTAAAGTTAGTTAAGTTGTACCCTTTAATTTATAATTATAAATTCATAGAAACCTGCCTCTGGCAAACAGATCTTAAACGATCCTATATAATTACTTTTTGACAGAAGCTAGATACATTGGTTAAAATACAAAAAAAGAAAAAGATGTTTCTTTTACTAAACCCTTGTCCCTTTATGGTTTCAGGTTTATTTGGCAAATTTACCATTTCTCTGAGCAAAATTTATGCATTTAATTTTAAGATATTTAGTTATTTCTATAAACTGCAATCCTTTCATTACCAAGAAATTGAGTTTATAAGAAGTTATGAATTTTAGATTTAAAAATGAAATATTCATTGAAGAAAATACTTTTACTGTCAGTATTTCAATTCTATTTTTAAAGATCATGAGTTAATTACTTATTCTGTAGTCTAATATAGCGAGCAAATCAGTTATTGAAAAATATTATTTGAAGAGCTCCATATCAAAAGGCATTTAGTATACTTTATGACAAAATTAATTTTGAATCGGGATTGTAAGTTAGTTAGGCAAGAAATCTAAGCAAAATGTTTAAGATAACAGTGTTTCTTGTCCCTGAGTTATTGTACCTTTGAAGCTCACTGCAAAATGCATTTAATCTATGTTTTTGTCTGGATTAAAAATGGAAAAGGACAAGATACATTTTGGTCATCATTCATTTCTAAGAATCCAGGCATCATTCAATTTATGTTATCAGTGTTTTATAGCAGGAGTTTACTGATTAAAGGATATAAAGACTTGGCAAATAAAAGCAGAAACTCAAAAAGAAAAAGGAACTGGATATGATTGAGTGGCCTGAATCTTACTGCTACAAAATCCTAGAGAATATAGCACTCTATCATTATCTAAAATCAGTTACCCATTTTAAAGGTTTGAATGGACATGAAAAACAAATCATATGACGTTAAAAAATTGGATCGTTTGGATTTATGATTTAGAGATTTATGGAAAAATCTAATTTCAAAATTCAGCAAGGTCTTTACATCAGTTACAACTCTGCCTAGCATTTAGCCTCTAACATTTCTGGTTTGATGAAGTTCCTCAATTATTAACTTGGAATGTCATTATTACTCTTACCAGTCAGTGAAACTGTCTTATTTTAATTATGTGATCAACATTTATGTGCATTTCATAGATTTCTTGGTTTTTCCTTCCTTAACACATGCCCGCTTCTCTTAAGGATTCAATACCCTCTAGTTTAGTAAATCCTTACAAACTAATCTAGTGAAAATTATTTGTATCTCTGATTTTCAAACTGCCATTTTTGAATTTATATTAAACATAATACTAGCTACGGCATCCCCATATCTTACTCCGATACCATCACCAAATGAACGAGATAGACATGATTATATACAAATAATATATTTGGGCCTTGTCGTCATTTTCATATGTCTAATAAAGCTTCTGGGGTCCCTAAATTCCCCAACAACCTGAAATAGTTTCAATACAGTTTCACCTCTTACCACTACTGTAGGTTGACTTGAAGTCTTAAAGTAAATGGCAAGTGAATATCTCAAATTCAGCATTCTTCTCTAGACTATTCCTAATTGTAAAGGCTTGGTCTGATATCCTTTCTTCCTCTCCTTTAACCAACCTAATGTGGACCAAGATCGCTTTTAGGAATAGGTACAACTTCCTCAAATGTAATGTTTTAGCACCTATTAAAATTCCTTGATACTTAGGTTTCCCTTTTAGTAAGGTGTTCATATTATTCTTAAATCTCAGCTCTTCACTCCAGATTAGAAGTATAACCTCTTAAATGTTTCTTGAAAACACAGAACTTGTATCCTGATTGTCTACATATCCACAGGCATGGTTATAAACTCGCGATACCAGAACACAGGGGTGGGAGAAATTGTTAAGAATGGTACTGAACTCTTTTTTAACTCAATTATGATTAGAAATTAATTAATATATTAATTCCTATGCTTTGAATACACTACTGAGTGGTTTAGGTGGTTGTAGGACCTGATTAACAATAATATTTATTAACACAAAATAATTTTAATAAGGTCATGAATGTATCATCAAACTAAGAAATTAAAGATTATACATTAGCAGAATGTATAACACTTTCTTTCTTTTCAATTGGCATTATAGACCTTTAACAGCTTTTACTGCCTTTTTCATCACTGCCTGCCTTGGCCTATTAATTACCACTTATCTGCATGCAGTGCTATTGCATCTTTGTTGATTCAATTGATCCATCTGCTTTTTGGCCTTTCATGTTGTCTCTTGATACTATTGAGGTGTTCATTGTTGTCTAGAAGCTTCCTGATGCTTTGCTTAGAGTTATATGCCCTGCCCATCCTTATCTCCTCGCTTTCATATCATGAGATGTTGATTGACCAGTTTCTACACATAGTTCTTTGTGATCTTTCTCCTCCATATATAAATAATCTTATCCCAGATTCCTCCGATTATTCTGTATAGCATTTTTCTTTCTCGGATAGGGTCCTGTTCTCATACTTGTATGTCATAAATGGCCTTTATGGTAGACCCTTAATTTGAGATCAAGAATATTTCTTATCAATCATGACAATAGTTTAACGATATACTATTTTAGGATTAAATTAGACAAGTCTTTAAGGCAAAGCAATAAAAATCCTAGTATAAAGAGGAGGTATTGATTTAACTATCATTTGCTTATAAATACATTTTTTTTTTAGAATCCTTGAGCAATAGATATTATCTTTTTACAGACATCTATAAATGATTTAATCCATTAGTTTTACATTGCATGACACTATAAAGGGGATTCATACCCTATGACACATTATGTAGACATGGACTCAAATGTGTTTTCTTTATATTAAGATTATTTTGTACAATATTATTTCTTTTTACTCATTTGGACACCTAAATTAGTCCAATTATTTTTTATCCCTCTGTCCCTACAAAATGTAAAGAGTGTAAGGTATAGATTAGAGTATACTGTTTCTACATCTTCAGTTAAATAAGATAATGTAATCATCATTTACACACAACTTTCATGTTTATCTTCCTACTAAATGGAGGGCCAGGTTCCACTTTTATAGAAACTGTCCCAGGAGGATCTCCTGACCAATTGTTTAATGGCTAATATTACAGAAAATAAATTTGCTGTACATAGCCGAAACAATACTATAATCTCAAAACTCAAATTTAATAAATATTAATTCTATAATATTTAATACTATTTCAGCTATACAACAACTGCATTGTACAATTATGTCAACAAATATTCACCTCTTTCTTATATGGAATATCCTGTCTTGATAGCACAGGAATATGTGCTAATTTATCTGGTGTTGTATTATCAAAACTTAATTGGAATTAAGGTAGTTATCACTACAATTTTATATTTTGGTCTCGCAATATCTTTTCTACTGAAAGTACTTGATCCAAGTATTTTAACACTTATTGTAGTAAGTAAATATATATTTGATAGTAAAAAATTATTATTCATGGTATTAAAACTTATTTAATTTATAAATTATTTATAGCCCTTTTGTACACCTGTTTCTTTATCAAGCAAGGCAATTCAGCTATGGGAAATAAAGAGAAAACAAAATGCTGATTCAGTTAGTGTTACTACATGGGTTATATCAGCCTTAACCAATGGAAGTAAGTATTTAAATTGTAAACCAGATCAATACAAAAAAATTAAATATAAAATATTAGTAAATGATGATAAAGGGAAAGAGACTTGTTATAATTATATGAAGATAATTAGGCTTTTATAGTCTCAATAAATAAAAAAATTAATTGTACAATAATCCAAAGTTTCGCCCATTCTGGCTTCATCGGGGATTCAATCACATACTAAGACATTATGTCAATTTTCATCTGAAAAAAAAAAATATATATATATAAAATCTATCACAGGACTTAATGGTAGACACTATTCCATTTTTAAAAAAATAATTATAACTTGCCACTATATATACATAAATTAGAAAAATCCTATTTGCGTATAGTGGTGCCCAATCTTGCACACTAATATACGGTGCACAGGGAATAAGGTAATCCTTCCTGAGGAGAGCCATTGCCAACATTAAAATATTCAATCATAAATATTAAACAAATATAAAAAAAATGCAGTTGTAAAATTATTTGATGTTATTATTATTTTTATAAATTATTATACTATATTATAAATTATCAGAGGTGGGAAGAGGTAGCACAAGACTGGGGAGATTTTTTGGCTGTAGTAGAGAAGGCCTGCGTTCATGCAGGACCGTAGCACCATAATAATAATAATGATAATAAATTCTACTATATTAATTATTGATAATTAATGTTACTATGATTAAAACATTATTTTTTATTATATTAAAATTGAAAATATGTATCACTAAAATTTGTTTTACTAGCATGGATATTAGGAATAAACCAATAGACATCAATAAATAGTTTGTTCAGATACTGATTGTTCCAGAAAAGGAATTATTTAGATTTCTGGCATCCGTTTTAAAGTTTATCTTTATACTCTGCGCAAGAACTTAGTAAGTAATAGTAAAGTCTGTTATTAAGATTTGGTCATGCCAATATAAGAATTAGGGCATTGTAGACAATTGATTTTGTAAATTAAATTGTAAATCTGGTTTGTAATTCTTTTTTCTTTTAGAGGTGTCAATTTTTTTTGCAGCTTATTAGAGACTTAGTAAGCTATTTTAATTTCCTGTTTATTATATTCAATGAATGTCCTGTTAAAGGATTGGGAACGATGTTTCATATAAAACATAGACTCCTTTTTATCGAATTATTAAAAACCGCCTGAAACTTTGTAAATAGTTTCATCTCATCGCAACCCAAAACTATTTTATTTACGAAAACTCTTGGAATTGGGGCGTTTTCAATCTGGAGGGGGGCAAACTTTGTTTATTTAATTAGGCACTAAAAACTCGTAAATACCCATTGCTTTCTACTTGGTTCATAAGATGTGATCACAAAATCAAGAAAAAAAGGAGGCCTTAAAAAATATTGAGCTGTTTGGCATAACCAACATCCCCAAATTTTCAAAATAACAAGGTTATAAAGGACAAACCGCTCAATATTTTTGAAGATCACCTTTTTTATCGATTTTGTGACCAAATTATCTCATGATCCAAGTAGAAAGCAAATGGATATTTATGAGTTTTTATTACCTAATTAAATAGACAAAGTTTGCCCCCTCCAGATTGAAAACACCCCAATTCCAAGAGTTTTCGTAAATAAAATAGTTGTAGCTTAAGATGAGATGAAACTTTTTACGAAGTTTCAGGTGGATGTTAATAATTCGATAAAAAGGGGTATGTACCACTGACTAATAATAAATAGATAATTAAAATACTTAGAGGCACTTAATGTATCCGAGAGCCTCGAAAGGGTTATCAATTTTAAAACAGATGACAGAAATTTAAATAATTTCTTTTCTGAAACAATCACAATAATATTTCAATAATATTTCTTGCACAATAATATTTATTGATGCATGTTGGTTTATTCCAAATAAAGAATACAAATTTTTCATTTGTCTGGTAAAACAAATTTTACTGATAAAAAGTTTCAATTTTAATACAATATTAAATTTTTTTTTTTTTTACCATAGTAACATTAATTATCAATAATTAATAAAATAGAAAAATAATAACATCAAATAATTTTACAACCATATTTTTTTATATTTATGATAGAATTTTAATGTTGGCAATGCTTATTCTTCTCTGGAAGGTCTTATTCCGTGTATACCAGACTAGGTGTGCAAGACTGGACATTATGTGGCAGTAAGTTTGGTCGAATTTATGTATATGTTGTGGCAAGTTATAATTATTCTTAATGTTTGTTTAAAAAATCGATTAGTACCTACCAATATGTCTTCTGATGGATTTTTTATATATATTTTTCAGACAAAAATTGACATGTTCTAATATTTGATTGTATATCTGATGATGGCAGGTTTTTTTTTTTTTTTTTTAATTGGATTAGGAAGGAAAATTTTGGATAATTTTACAATTAATTATTCTATTCATTCTAAAGACACTATTGCATTTCTGTATGGTTTAATCAAAGATTAATTTCTCTTAGTTAATATAATTATCAATATAAAATTATTTTCAAATTAAGAATAGTAGTAGATTTCTATAAATTGTTACTTTTTCTGAAATGATGGGAAGCTTATATGATTTTTCAATGTATAAAATGTGAGATATGGGAACTTGAAAATAGGACTTGCTTTGACAAGTCTTAAAGCAAAACAAAAAAAAAAAAATAAAGAGAAGGAAAGATCATTATATTTTAACAAAATAAGTTAGAATTTAGAGCACCTTGGAACATGTGCAATAAAATTGAGGAAGTAAAACTGACAGTTCCACTTAATACATTTATCTCATCATAACTGCCAACTCTCTAACTTATTAACACAAAAATTATTAACTTCATTTTTATTAAAATTTTATTTTATTTATTTTTTTAAAACTTTTATTATGATATTTACAACTGTATTAGTATGAATACATCAAGTAAATGTGTACAGAGAAATATATTTTTATTTTTAAGTTTTAACAAATGAAACATACATTAGCATGCATACAAATTCATAAGAAATAACAACTGTACAAATAACAAATATGCAAAATATTAGCAACTCGAACCTGCACTTTATATAATAGATGAATTTATACAAATCTACTATTAATCATATCTTTACAGGTCGCATATATACAATACTAATGGATTCAAAAGATATTCTGCTATTAACAAACTTTACACTTTCTACAGTGATGAGTGGGACTATCGCACTGACTGCTTACATAATGCAGCATAAAAAGAAACAGTCTTAAGTACAATAATAAAAACAGCTTTACAGAGAAAACAATAATAAATAAAAAGATTGAGGAATGCAAGAGAAATGCACAAATATTCCCTTCAGAGTTATAATAAATAAAATCCTTCATTATCAGATAAATATTTGCCGTTTACAAGGAGGTTCATAGTTTAATTTAGACACTTCTGAAAAGGTTGGTGTATTAGAAGACTTAAATGGAGTTCTTTTTGGAGGTGATGGGATTTTATAACAATCTCTACAAACTGCCATGTACTTGTCCAACCCACCTACAACTTCAATCTGAAAATTTTGTTATTAAATAATACTATTTTAATTAAGATATAAACAACAGAATAAATAAAATGTAATATTCAATCCATTCAATTCAATGATGTTCTCATTTGATAATCGTATAAAATTTAATTTTATACTTCAAAATAGGAATGTTTTTAGAAATAATACTTAACGAGATTAAATCTTGTTAGTAGATTAGTGTAATGATAATACTTTTCTTAACAGTAAGAAAGCTAAAACTATAGTTAAATAAATTTAAATCACCAGCTTTGATAAAAAAACTTAAGTAAGCTCCATATTGCCAATCCAATCTAGTGATAAGATCAGGGCCATTCTAATTTTTAGTATTAAAATAGTATTAAGAAAGTTTTAAGTATTAATGCATAGTTGTACTATGATTGATTTATAATTACAATTTGTAAATTATATTACACTATATGTATATTAAAAATAAATGAAATGTTTTAGCAACCAATTAAAATAATTACCTCGTCTTCTCCAGATATCCTCTTTGTAAATGAGGCATTTTTACCGCATGACATACAAATAGCGGAAAGCTTATCAACATTATTTGCAAATGGGACTAGTGCCAAAATATTTTCAAAACCAGTTCGTAAATAAGTTGCATCCAGTCCTGCTACAATCATTATTTTTCCTTTCTTCAAATATTCATTACAGAATGGAAATATATCAGAGAACTAAAACAAAACATAATAATAATAATTAAACATTCAAGGGATAAAAAAATAGTTATTTTTCTTAATATTAAGATTTTTTTTTTAACAAATAGATTGACACACGACTGTGCAGTATTATTGTCGACAGGTTGACTACCAGAGTAGTTTTCAGAATTCTCATGTAAACAACCATTTAATTTAATTATATTACATTTTTCTATAAACTCTCATGTAAAGCTTGTTATAAATAGCTGGGTTATCCTGTGGTACTTATCCAGTAGCGGGTAGCATCAAAACCTCCCTTCTTATCTAATCTCATTTCAGATAACCTCCCTTATCTCATCTAACCTAAGTTATTCTATTGTTTAGTTTTTGTTTGTTGTGCCAGGTGTGAGTTTATTTAATTATGGATCTTGTCATATTGTGGGATTTGCCGTCTTCAGAAGAAGAGGCTATCAAATATTTTCAAGACGCCGGTATATTTGATAAGGTGAAATATTGTGATGGGGGTCATAAAATGAAGTTCGATGGGAAGATTAAATGGAAATGCTTTCGTAGGTGTAACAAAACCGTTTCTATAAGGAAAGGAACGTGGTTAGAGGGGTCGAGGATTTCTTTTTTTACAGCTTTAAAATTCATTTATGGGTGGTCCCATAATTTAACTACAATGCAGTGGGGGAAAGAGCAGCTCAAACTATTCATCGGAACTGTCATAGCATGGAACAAATTTTTAAGAGAAGTTTGTGCCCATGACATGTTATACAGGTAGAATAAAAAAATTGGAGGGCCTGGCAAAGTCGTCGAAGTAGACGAGAGCCTTTTTTCAAAAAGAAAATCATGTGAGGTGAGTCCTACCTGAGCAATGGATGTTTGGCAGAGTTTGCCGAGAAACAGACGAGTGTTTTATCGTTAAAATAAACGATAGAAAAGCAACAACTTTATTAGAAGCCATTAAAAACAATGTAGAAGAGGGAAGCACCATTTATTCCGACTGTTGGAAAGGATACAACTCAATGAAGCAAACTACAATCATTTTCAGGTGAACCACAGGTATAATTTTGTTGATCCATCAAGTGGAGTCCATACTCAACACATTGAATGATTATGGGGCTCAGCTAATTGGAGAAATAAAAAACATAGAGGAGCTGCCAGACAATACCTGGATTCATATTTATGTGAGTTTTGTGGCGGCGGGCGTATAGAGATCAGGATCTCTTCCTTGCTATTTTAAATACCATAAAATTATTTTCTCTACCAAAATAGAATTTTTCATATTTTGTTTCTATCGTTTCTTCATAATGTTTGTTTTATTAATGTATGCTGTTTAAGTAGTTTTTTATTATTTCATCTTTTTTTGTCTATTTTTATTATTTCATATATATATATATATATATATATATATATATATATGTTGCAATGTTTTTTAATTATATATTTATAATGTTTTGGTCTATTTTAATATATACGTTGTAAAATAAAAGCATTTTGTTTTTATTACATTTGTTTCTGTTTTTGTTCATAATTTCAATAATATCAATACAATAAATATGAATATGAAGAGCTTATCAGTGTTAAGGTAATAAACATTGGCAGATAGCAGTCGGACACTAACCGCTATTAGATAAGTACCTATCCTGTTAAAACAATCTAATTCTTTAAATTGGGAGCAAATAAATAAAGATTCATTGGCATTATTTATGTTAAGTTACTGCTATTAAATGCCATCGTTTTAGAGCAGAAATACAACAAAGTAGCCATTTCTATAAGAAACTACTAGAGCACTATATTCTTTGTTGTCACATCAATCAGATAAGTTAAGTATAGTTTGATCATAACTTTATTTTAAAAATATATAAAAAAAACTAACATAGATATACAAATGAAAAAAAAAAGATCTAAGAAAGTCTTGAACATAAATTCCTTAACCAAACGCCTCATACAATATAAACATAAATTGATAAAAAAAAAAAAAAACTTACAAATTGTGCTTCATCAATTCCAATAACATCATACTGCTCAACATTGACAATATGATAAAGTTCATGACAATTAATTGCAGTCATTTTCTTTCCATCGTGTGTCATAATCAAATCATTGGAATAACGATTATCCGCATCAAACTTAACTAGAGCACAATTATAGCTGCAAAGTCTATATTTCCTTATCCTTCTAATTAATTCTGAAGATTTACCAGAAAACATGGGTCCAATTATAAGCTGAAAAAACAGAAAAATGTACAAATTTAATGTTTTAAGGATTTTACTATTGAAAATGTCAAAGAATTTATGGATGAATTATATATTTTAATAAATTTTACTCAAGAAAAAATGATTTAAACTATAAATCAATGGAAGTTGAAGTGGCTACAATAATACCATCTAATGTTAAAGGAGCTGTCTAAATCCTGGAATTTATTTATTAATTATGAATCAATACTGCCTGCTTTTTTTTTTTTTCTTTTCTGATCCCCAGTTTCTTACATATGGTTAACATATTATGTTACATATGGTTAACATATTAAAGTCTTCCTGAGCCTTTCTTAGTTTTGTTTATCTTTATTTCTGGACTTCAATCTGGGCAATGGGGCTCACCTCTATCTTGATAATTTTTTAGGACTAATCTAACTTACAACTATATTTTGCCATCGCCGAGGAGATGGTAGAAATGTTATGGTATTGAATTCTTCATTTGTTAAATATTTTAAAGAATCGTAGAATTCTTTTATTCTTTTGTTTAAGAATTCAGATACGGTGGGTAAATTTAAGAAGGCGTGAAGTTTATCTGATTTTTGTTTTTCCAATGACGTATTTTTAGCTATTCTGATTAGAATTCCATTTTGGAATCACTGGAGTCTCTTTATTGTATTTTCGGAAATGCTGGACAATAGAGGAGCACCATAGAGAAAGGAAGGGCGAAGAATGCTTTTGTAGATGATTACTTTTAATCTGAGACTGAGGTTTGAGGTTGTGAGAAAGTGACTGGATTTGTAGGATTTTTGTCTAACTTTTGGTAGTTTTGAAGTGCAATGAGCGGTAAATTTTAGATGTCTGTCAAATTTCATTCCTAGATAGACCAAATTATTTGATATTTTGTTGTATGAATGCTTTGGTCCACTTGGTTTCTTTAAAGTAGTACTGTCAATTTATTTATGCGACAACATAAATGTTCATAGATCATACAAATAATAATCAATGTTTATGTTAAACATCCAATAAAAGAAATACAATAGAAACTGAAACAATAATAAAGATATAACATTTTAACTTAATAATGAAATTAGTAGGGTGATGTAATGGACTTCAAGTAATGTTCCTCGCCACCAAGACTCCTCAGAGGAGGCCTTTAGGCCAACAATTTTTGAGGCCTGGATGAGAGTGAGAAGTTGAGACTACTAAATAGAAGGAAAATTGTCATTAGCTCTTTTTGAGGAGTCAGCTATTATAAAACTAATTATTCAACTTCCACAGACCTTAACTAAAAGTCAACATATTTAAAATAAGATGTTAAAGAAAATAATTTTTTTAAAACATTAAAACTAAAAAGGGATATCAGAACATTCCATGAATTCATAGTAGAATCTCTGGAAGGAAACTCACATCTAATCGTCCAAATTTTGGATGTTTCTCCATCTCAGATTTTAAATGAATTCCACAGGGCGTACTTCTTTAAATCCTTACAAATAACTTGGATCGACACAAATGTTTCAATATATAAGTAGTAACAAAGAATTTGCAGTATATAGCTTTAATATAAAAATAATCCTGAAAGCCAGAGTATCTCTCACCAAACTCAATTAAACTCGATAATTAATCAAAAAGTAGGATATTCTTAACTTTCTTAAATTAAGAGATATCGGTAATACTAAAAGGAAACGTTGTTTACATAACCTAACCTTTACTAAAAACCGCCCAAAAACTTAAAATTGTAGTTCACGAACGATTATGTTCAAATGAACTAGTTTAACAAAAGGACCTGTTCGGACTGTTTTTGATCTGATGAAATATAGTCATTAAGTTATTGCTGGATAGACGTGACACATGCCTTGTCAACCATGGCAAGACGCATTGTTGGCTGGACTCTAGAAATGAGAACGAGCTACGACTACGAGACTATTGGCTTCATGGTCAGAGGGAAGAAAGAGGGTCAGGGCGATATAAAAAATGGGATTTGTGAAAACAACAGTGTACTGGACGACACTATCGGAAAAACTTGAGGATCTTCTATTAGATCGAGAGTGGATAGGGACTAATTTCGACTTTGAGGAGACGGGCATAGACCAAAATACAAAGGGAATGACGAAGATTATGACAGTGGCAGCTGAGAGCTTGGAGCAGGGACGAAGAATGAAATACTGTACTTAGGTATGTATGTATGAGGGGACCCTACATGGTCATTATAAACCTGTTTGTTTCCTCTCATAGAATCTTTTCCTTTAAAAAATCCTTTGCCATGCCTGCTACCTTTTTTTTGTACTCCTTACCTACCTCCATACGGAAATCCTCTTTCTTAACCTAGTTTATACAACATTTATTCTTCCACCTCCTCAGCAATCAATCTTCCGAATACATGTAAGAATAAAATTTTTGTATTTAAGAGCAGTCACCTCCATTTGACTGTTACCTTACAGTTACTTATATATTATCAATATTGCTAATCAGTTCCAAATACGTTAACACACTAATATATATTCATGTACAATTTAATATGTCTATTTGTGCTTTGTTTATTTTAAGGTTACATTAATAGGTTAACTAATTATTTCTTGATTTTCTTATAATGCCAGATAATGTAATCTTTCTGTTCATTATAATTATTCTTAGGAGACTAAATGTATTCTAAAAAAATTTTCTTTCTTTCAATCAACCGACGATATATACGGTTGTTGATGGGTGAATAGTTAAAATTTGAGAATCTTTGTTTGAGATTGATTTTGTACTAGGGGGGGATTCAAATTTAATTTCATAAAATTGGGTGAGGGGGAAGGGGTAGTTTTGAATTTCTTTATGGGGGAGCTTAAGGAAATCAAGATTTCGCTATATTCACAATAAAAACCTTGTTATTCGAATATTTGTTTAGGCGCCACACAACTAAACCGACCACCACCAATAAATTATTTTTTTGGACTCAGACTCTTTCAATCACTCAGCCACTTTACCACTCTTATCCCTTGCAAGTCGTGCAACTTTCTTAGATTCAAGGGCTGTGGAACTCGTACAGGGGTCAGAATGCGCAAAGTGTGGACTACTGCATCTAAAGGAACCATGTGTTGGGGTTTTGGAGGAAATGTATTGGGGTTAAATTTAGTAGCACTCGTAGAGGGGCCAGGTAAATTGTAATAATAAGAGACTGTAGTATATTGAGTCGATTGGACACTTACCAATGAGTCCAAACCATCATACGCTCAAGGGTCAACGCGTGTGCTCTTGACGAATCACCAGCATCTGGATCTGGTATGTTAAAGGGCTTGGCATCAACGTGAACAGCTCTATTCCTCCGGGAATCTTTCGACCTAACTTTTCATTTAAGTTTGGCTGCTTTGGAAATTGAGCTTAAATGGGACATTTTTTAAAGGCCTTTTTATCAATCAGTAGAAAATATTTTAAAACCAAATTTAAAAAATCCCACACAATTTGTCTGCAGAAAAAAACAGAATTTGGTCTGCAGAAAATATTTTAAAAACACAAAATTTGGTTCAATAAAAAGCGGCTGTTACATATTCTTTATTGCAATAGCTCAATATCAAAAGACAAAGCCGGGTCAAGTACCCAGTAACTGTACAAAAAAATATATAAAACCCAAAGAAATTCGTACCAAATGTTATTACAATAATTCATTACCAAAATACGAATCATTTTTTCTAAATTTAATTGTTCCAAGTTAATTTCAATTGACTTTAAATAAATTGTAAGCTTTAAATTAAACGAATTCTAACGGTCAATCATTTATTTTCATACTGGTGCATAAGAACTTCATTAATATTTCATCGACGTTTTCAAATACCAAGTACATTGCAATCAGACAATAAAAAAAAAATGAATTCTTTTATGTATTTAGATTTTGTTTATGTCTTATAAATTATTTGAATATAAACAGTTATTTATTAATACATTTTATTTAAGGTTTAAAAATTAAGTAAAATATTGATTAATCATTGAAAATCTATATGTGAAATAAATTTTGACTTCCTTGACTGACAACGAATATGATAGTAGAGCTAATGAGCGAACAATTTTAGTCGAAATTTTGACCATGTTACTATTTCTGTGATGTCGGTAGTAACCTATGTAGGTGAAGGCGACTAAGCTAAACAGCGTGACTTGGATGTTCAACTGTGGGAGGATGTCGGATTTTCTTGGTAGAGTAGGGTGAAGTATTTATGTTTTCTATAAATGTAACACCTAGGATGAATCTTTTTTGAGCGGCTGTTTCATATATCTAATAAAAAAAAAAAAATGACATATTTATTTGACTTGGCAAGCTTGATAGAATGATATCTCGAGCAGATAAATTGGATAAATCTAACTACTGACTGTTAAACAGCGCGCTGACACTTAAGCGAAAGTCAGGGATTTGGTTTTTTTCCGCTGGGTTCTGAACCGGTTCTGGTTTCTTAAAGCCTATGCCTATGTTTAAGTCAAGCAAACCTAAATATAATGTCAAAATTTCAAAAGTCTACCATTAGCCATTGCTGAGCTTATCTTTGACAAAATTTCGTTGGACAATGCGGACATATAGAGAGACAAAAAACTTTTTTAAAGTGTATTTGGTGTCTGTAATGTATGAAGCGGAAAGATATCATGAAACGAGTTGATTCTATTCAATGTACAGACAAAACCTTTATTTTATTTATATAGATACATAAATCATATTTGTGAACATGAAAACAACAGTGCACTTTGTTTTATTGAACCTCAATATCCACATAAAATACATGTTATTAACAGTCGAGGAAATAGTATCTTTTGTATTTTTAATTTTAATTAAAACTGTTTCTGTGTTTGATTATTCTTTATTCATTTTCATAATAGATTCATTCATTCAAACATTTTTTAAAATAAATTTATACTTGACAATTGAGAAAAATCCATTTACTCAGGCCGCTGCTAATCTAGTCACAGACCAGTGTTTCCACTCCAATCTCACTTACGTATATATGTAATATATAGTAAGGGTAAGTATTGCGATCGTGAAAATTTTCGAATCTCAGTTTTCAACGGAAATACATGTTTTGAGGTCCCCTGAGTTCAAATAACCAAGTGTCGCAAAATGGTCTGTCTGTCTATGTGTGTGTGTTTGTGTGTGTGTTGATGTCACTTAACAGGGCTTAAATGTCCAATGTTCATATATGTCTTCCTCTAAAGTACCTTTAATATGGTTTATTTTAAAAAGTTAACCATTTCGCATTATTCAGATTTACAAAAAAATGCTACATATAACTTTTGAAAGAATTTGATAAGTTAATAAAGGAGAAAAAAAAATGCAGAATAACCTGCGTTGCTATAGACTGTAGCGCCTAACCGAATGTACCGATTTCAATGAAACTTCGCTAAAGTCATTTTCTCGATACCCTTTAAATTTATCTATATCTATATCTAAATTTATCTATATATACTTCAACGAAAATAAGCTTGACAAAAAGTTACGAAGAATGGTAAAATTAAATTCCGAATAACTGAAAAAGTATACACTTTTTGGTTGATGGTTTTTTAAAAGTTTGTGGAATTTCCTAAAAAAAACAACAACAAAATCGTTAAAATCGGACAATTAGGAGGAAAGATATGGTCTCTAATTTTTTTCCCAGAAGAGGCGAAAATTTGGATAAATTTAAAATATATTTTTTTAATTGTTGAGGCTGAAAAAACCTATTTTCTACAGACATTTAATAAAGAGTCTTTCCTAAGAACATCTTTCATAAGAACTAAGTACCTAAATTTATACCTTTATTCTCAGTTCCATATTTCAAGACTGCAATCACCACCTCTGGAATCAACTTACTCCTTGTCTGCATAGATAACTTTTTCAACTAAAAATATCACTAAAATGACATCACTCAAAAATATTGAAATTAGAGTTAGTCATTCTGTGGTTTATAAAAGCAGATGAAGGGACTAGATTTTTATTGCCTGTCATCGATATATTAAATAGACATTTTGCAATTATAATGGTCTTAATGAGTTGTTATCTGTAAGCTTTAAGCTTTATCTCCGTTTAAAATGCACTTCAAAAAATTTTATAATAGCCCAGCATTGCCAGAAAATAATTTCTATAGATCGGTAAGTGAAAGTTGTGTGTTGCGTGCACCAGATTTTTTAAAGTTGCTCTTCCGCTAACTCTGATTTTTCCTTTTTTTCCTCGGTCAGATCCTAAAAATCCATTAATTTTTCCCTCTCTATATATATCTATACTATAGTATATACACGTTATTTATTAACGTATTTAATGTAAGTGTTTATATTTTCATTAATTAATTGAATTATTAATATATTAATTGACCGGATTACCACTTAGCAATAGCTGAAATGGTAGAAAAGGAATAACCGATACGCAGTATCGGTTTCAGTATTTAATTTAATAATCACACGAAAATAGAGGAATGAATCATAAAAACCTTGGTTATGCAGATGATATA